TTCGTATTCTTGATCCAATGTTATCCTCCTTCCACTATTCTGGGCGAGAAAAGGCCATGTTCTCAATTTAGAGGTAATTTTGATTTTGTTTTTCCTTTCAAAATTGTTTTAATTAGATGTGTAACTAAGCTGATTTTACTGATTCCAGCAGATTAAAGCTATAATAACAGCAGAAGAGGTAGTTTGTAGAATCGAGTAATTTTCAATATTTATTTGATATGATATTAAGATCGTTTTATTTTTGTGATAGGTATGCTTAGAGACCCCATTTGATGATAATGTAATACCTATTGTCGCCGAACTTAAAAGGCGATTGCCTCAAGAAAATCTCACATGTCGAGGCCAAGGAGAAGAAGAACACCCTGGTTTGCGCAACTATACAAACAATGGAGAAGAAAATGGTAATACTAAAACTACTAGTTTGAAATCATTTATCGAGTGTTTGTTTTTTTTCACCACGATTTTGGTACGTTTCATGTAGAATTTCCATTTGAATTCTGGGAATTAGAAGTAGCACTAGAAGCAATTTGTGGCTTTCTTGATGCGCGCACTACGGAGCTGGAGACTGATACTTATCCAGCTTTAGATGAGCTGACCTCCATGGTATTTTCACCTTTTCTCTCTGGATTTGTTCATTGCTGACTGATTATTCTTTCAAATATTTCATTTGAAGCTAATAGTGAATTTTATACAACATACAATATATCTATAGAGGTAGAATTTTGGCTCTCGAAGTTCTGCAAAGTTTATTTTATCGATTTTCTACCTTCTTATTATTCAACAAATGTAATCGTGTTAATGCTTTTATGCTTGTTCTTTGTGAAAGTGATGAAAGGATTAAAGTCAGTATTACATGAATAAATGAAACCATAGAAAATACATCAATCTTTCTATGCAGAAGTGAAATTCTATAACGACTTTAGGTTGTAACAAGTCGAAGCATTCATCAGCTACTTGGGTATGCTTATGATTTTTCTGCAGCAGAAGTCTTGATTGCATGTATTTTTTTGTCAGAGCAAATGCTCTATTGTTCCTTTTGTCAAACCTGCCTTACTAATGATAATGATTACTTTCTATGGTGGTACCTAAGCAGTTTAATTGGAGTTATGAGGCTAAGTGAGATAGAGGAAATCAAAGCAAAAAGCTGTTAATATAGCAGGTGCATGTATCAGTTCAAAATGAAACGTGTTATCAGTGTCAAGGTTATCTTCCTTTGTAGCTGCTAGAATGACTATTACCACCTGCAAGTCTAGATTGTCACCGGAACAAGCTGCACTTTAATGGATCATAATTTGTTTTAACAGCAGAGGCATCAATGACTAATGCAATGAGATATGACTGGTATGTTTTGATTTCCCCCCTGTAATAACCAGAATGTTGAAGAGAAGGTCTTACAACATACTATGAAGCATTGCAATTCAGTTGTTTAACGATCACTTGTATATAACATGGAAATATGGTTATACATATTATAGTTTTTCATTTGTTTTTACTTAATGCTATTGAATGAATAGCCAAGAGTTTCATATTTCAATGCCAATGGTTTCTAGGTTTGCTTGTAAGATAAGTTCAATTACATGCAAGAACTGTAATTATGTGCAGATTAGCAGTCGTAAGTCGTAACTTGGACCATGTGCGTAAACTGAAAAGTGCAATGACCATGCTGACAAATCGGGTCCAAAAGGTATGTGACTATGTTTAGGTTTCTGGAAGCTAAACATCAGTGCAATTTCAGTTTCTCCTGGTGGATGAATAGTTTCTTTGTCGGTTTTTGATTTGGCTCAATGCCAAAATATTTTAAGCTGGTTAAGTTTTTCGGTGACCAGATGACTTTTGATAAACATCACCCATGCAGTAACATGAGAAGATTTTTCTTATTGGCAAATATGTATAATGGTCCAGCTGATTATAGAATGAAAATTAAAATAAATTATCCAGTGAACTCAACATTGACAATCCTTTGGGCATGAATGACTGATAAAAAGAATAGATGAAAGATTATCCACTTAAGATTTACTCTTTGTAAGTATTCTGATATTTTAGGTCAGGGATGAACTTGAACAACTTTTAGATGACGATGATGATGATGATGATGATATGGCAGGCCTTTATTTATCGAGAAAGTTGGCAGGAGCATGTTCTCCTGTAAGTGGTTCTGGTGCTCCATATTGGTATCCATCCTTGCCAACTATAGGTTCAAATATATCAAGAACAAGTTGAGGAGCTTGAAATGTTGCTGGAGGTTATTGATGTCTTGGGTTTTGGTTAGTTAATGCAAAATCAAATGTTTATTTTTTTTTCTGGATTCTGCAGGCTTACTTTACACAGATTGATAGTACATTGAACAAATTGACCACGGTATGCTCCTTACTTTTAACATTTACGCCTGCTCTAATCCCAAAGATACTCTTATATATTTATTCTTTTTCTCACCAGCTGCGTGAACACATTGATGACACAGAAGACTATATCAATATCCAGGTGATCAGCTAAACAAATTACTATTGTAAACAAGAATAAGGTGGAAAGATTGCTGAAGGAGGGTTTTGATGGTTGATTGGAAGTTTTCTTTAGCTTTCAAAATTCCCTGAGGCAATTTACCGCCTTCAAATATCAGGACCTAGTATGAGATCTTGATAATTCTGAATGCATTCTGTTGCAGCTTGACAACCATCGAAATCAGCTTATTCAGGTGCTTCTCTAAAATTAGCCTCCAAGCACTTATATGTTCTGGTTTCGATCGATATAGAATATTTCCATCTGCATGTATTTCCGTTCACGGGTTATCACTGTATGTGGCAGCAAGTGCTCTTCTTAAGTTCTGGGACTGTTTGTTTGTCTATATATTCTTTGGTTGCTGCAATCTTTGGAATGAGCATTCCTTATACATGGAGGGAGGGCCATGTATACATGTTTAAATGGGTATGTCTCCTATGATCACCATAGTATATAATACCAGAACCAAACTATTACATTTCTTTTCATATCTCCCCAAAGTATTCGCTTTCTTTGTCGTGAATTTTAGTAAAAAATATGCTGTTTGAACATAGGTGGTCATGCTCACTGGACTACTATGCACTTCGACATTCACATTGATAATGTCCTACGCAAGACACAAGGGTCTCATTGGGTCTTGAAGTCGCATAGAATAAGTTTGAGGCTGTCGATCGGGATAAAGCCACGGCCGTGTTTGCAGATGCACCAGAAGATAAAGTAAAACTGAAATGAATTCCTTACCGTTTATATTTTGGTGCAGCCGGGTGAAGCTTTAGTCATGTGAATATCAGGTGAACCACTGCATGCTATAATATTATCAATTTATCATGATTTGTGGACAATATGGTCCGTGGGAGGGGATGGGCGTTCCTCCTATTGGTAATTGCATTTGACAGATAAGCTTATGAAGTATCACTATGTTGCCATATATACACAAACACCCATATGAGATACTTCGGATGTTGCTTGATACTAATTGGGTTCTTTTTTACTTGGAAGATAACAAAGAACAGGAATAAATCTCAAATTTATTCATAAATTTTTATGTGCTCCCCATAAGTGCACGTTGGAGTTCTAAAGCAGTCTCCATGAGAGAGATCAGCTCATTGAAGCATCCTCTGTTCTGATAGCCACGTCTCCAACTGCAGGTCCATAAAAATTATCTAACCTATTGATATGATCCATAACTCTTGATGCATATGCCTTAATAGCTGTTAAAATAAGTAGATTTTGACATGCATTTCTTGCAGGTTGACATCAAATGTATGGGACAACATGTGGTTTCCACATCGCATAGTATACGGTACGTGTAATTAAACAAAATCGTTTACGGTAACTGCCAAACCAACAATCAAGCCTTTTTTAAAGAGAAATTTGACAAGACAAAAAGAAGAGAAAGATGGCAACGTTACACCAACCCAAAGCCCTATAAGTTGGTTTAGCATCAGCTAAAATCTCAATCAAGACAAAAAGTAATGATTTGTTATAGATTAAACCCTAAATCTCAGTGATAATCAGAATTAACATAACATAATATGATCAGATAAAAACTAGATCTATATATAACTAGAAAAAAATTATCGTAATTGTGGTTTAATAATTTATCAAACAAATGAACATGAACTATATTTTGTGTTTGTTTAATTAAATGAACGAAAACGAACAGAGGGTTTATTCATTTATTTACGTTTGTGAACGTTCGATAATATGTTTGTTTACGTGAATTCATTTCTGTTTAGCCCAATCTCTCTAGATCCATTTAAAATATTAAAGGCCAATAAATTTTCATCTTATACTAATAAATAATTTTAAAATTCAATTAATTTTAAATACAAATAAAAAAAGCCTAAAATAATTAAATAAAATATAATCTTAAAATTATTAGTAAAGAAGAAAAAAAATATTTTAATTTATGTTTGTTTATGTGCATTTATTATGTTCGTTTACGTTCGTTTATTGTGTTCTTTTACATCTTTTATATTCGTTCATTTATATTCAATTATTATTTAAATGAACGAACACGAACAAACTATATTCCTTAACGAACGAACACGAATAAGAAATATTTTATTAATTTATATTCGTGTTTATTCATTTGTTCAATTAAACTTGAACGAAAAGAATATGAACATACCCGTTTATGTTCGTTCAATTCCTTTACGGGCCTACATAAACACACACAATAACATAAATATACGTAAATGAATGAAAGCCTCCTTCATTGGCAACTAAACTGGCCCTTATATCGCTCATTAACAAGCATAAACATTGTTCATACAGGGATCCCTGTTCCAAGACATTCAAACTTTACTACATCCATAAAAAAACATCTATACTTCCGGATTCTGTTAATTTAAGACAATGGTAAAGACATAAATACAAACTCTAAACAAAACCCAGAAAGAGAAAGAAAATTATTAAACTAAGCTTAACAAAATTACCATTCTGAAGACTTGAAAACCTATTCTTTTTGAAAGCATTACATACAGAATTTTTTATAAGGATGAAGAAAAAAAATGAATACTAAAGTAATGAATGTATCAGTATGAAATTTAACGATTTGGGTCTAAACGCGGGTGTATCCAGCTCCAATGGGGCTGCCGACAACCGAAAGCAGTCCACCCTCGGAACCGTCAAGTTCGTCGTAGTACAGATCCTCCGTTCCCCTAAACGCAGCGTGTAGAGCCACTATAAGAGCCCCGATCGAAACGGAAACCAACACGTTCAGCCAAACGTCGGTCAGAACTAGGGCTACAATCGTAATCACGGCGAGGATCGCCAGCACGATACGGTCGTCGATCCGACGGTTGAGGATGACCAGGGGATTGTCGCGGAAGAAGTAGAGGAAGAACCAGGCGACGAAGACGACCAAGAAGACGATCATGGAAATCGGGTGCCACAGGAGGCTGAGGAAGAGGATTACCAGGATTATCATGGCGTAGTTCACTCGGAAGTAGTTGAGGTTCCGCTTCATACGGGCGGTGGCCTCGCCGAAGGACATGGGCCGCGCGAATGACGAACGGGAAAGGAACTCCCGCCACGGGCGGCGAGTGAAGATCGAGAGAGTAGCGCGCGTTAAAAACGCCGTCGTCGGAGGGGATTGCGAGGTCATCGTTGGCGCCAAAGAATCCCTACTCAGAGAGAAACACAGGACAGGAGAGAGGCACTGAATATAAGTAATTTCAGCTGATTTTCTATTTCCAAGCTTCGCTTCGCGAGGAAGAAAAAAAACAACACAGTAAAGCGATAGATATTTGAGGGCAGAGGGACTACTTTGACCTTTTCTACGTATTGTATTTTTCTAATTATTTTTCGTTTGAGTGAGATCTTCTAATACGGCACCGTTTCACTTGGAATCTTCACATGTCGACCTGTCCATTATATACTGTTAAAAACCTAAAAAATGTGATGGCAAATTGGCAATTAAATTAAATTAACAGAATATGACATCTTTACGAAAACTTTAATGCCTAAAAAGTACTATATGTTTATAAAAAAACTATTAAAATAGAATGGCCCCATTTGTAATTAATCAGATTACTTTTTGTTAAATGTATAATGGATGTTAATTATCTAGTTATAAATGAAATGAAATGATTTAATTATTATAATTAAAAAAACAGAGTGATTTAATTATAATTAAAAATTAATGTAGCACAAATTACGTTATCTAAGTGGTTAAGGGAGTTGTTGTTGTTGTTGTTTTGGGCTCAAACACCTCATATATAAAGGTATGAGCATTCATTATCAAATGATTGACGATCTTTAAGCAGATATTACATTGTATTTATCTCAAATTTATTTTTAAAAAAGTTAATGCATGTTTTAAATTTGTATAGTATTTTATTTTAGGTAAAAATTGAATTTGGGTCGGGACAAGTTTAGGTGAAAAATACTCGACCTGATCTAACTCGAGATATAATCTAATTATCTTTAAATTATTAGTGATAATTTCAATTAGGCTCGTATTTTAATATTTTTTTATTGAGTTGGATTAGGTTGGTTTTTTTAAAAAAAATCGGATCGGATTTTAGATTAGTTAGGATCTCTCAAAATCCAAGCCAAGTCAGATGACAGTGGAGGAATATAATGTTCGGGTTAGATTTGGGTGAGTCAAAAACCCTACTAATCCTATCCATTTCCATTCCTAATTCTATCATTATAATTAGTTAATTGAGTGACTTGTATTTAATTTTATAAAATACGATGATTAATTTATAATCTTATTTAATTTTATAGCATCCTGATATTTGAATCACAGCAAAGATATTGACCATGACAATTGTGCATTTGGGGACGGTTAATGAAGCCACTACATAAGGCTGGACTTGTGATCCAAATGCCCAGTATCCAATGCAAGCAAGCTGCCAGTATGTTGACACAGTGACACTGTACGCTGCTGATACACCTTTGTACATATTTTTGAGTGCAGGTTCCCTCACTGTATTCCGGGGATAATAATGGTTTATGTTTAAACCTGTATCTCGGGAAGCATTGCATCTCCAAATGAAAAGGCAATTGCACCAAGAGCGTTGAATGCTGCAAATCTCTTTGCAGATGAGCTTCCCTGCAAACCGTAACCGATCAACTCCCTATCGATCTTTTTACCTACAAATTTGTCGAAATTTAGCACTCGATCCTAGAGGCGATATTGAAGATCACATCTAAGAACAAGAATCGAGTCCCGAGACTACCTTTGTAGATTGAGACACCAATGGTTGTACCGGCAAAGCCGATTGTGCTGAAAGTGCATATCCCGTTCACCCATCTTAAAGAGTGGATATCAGGTAGCTGAGACTGGAAGAGCTCAAAAACCCCAAAGAAAATAATAAAATGTTGCAGGGTGAGTGTGCCATGCTTGTGATAGTGCTCGTAAACAGCCTGCAAAAGATAGAATGGAACACATTAATCATATGGGCCAAATAATTCTCAGCCTGTTCTGGAGCTGGCACAAGAGTCATAAAGACCCAGCAAAGGAAAACAAAAGAGCCAAAAAATCCGATCCCTTTCATTTTCAGCAATGACAGAAAACAACTGTGTATTTGCAGTGTGGTCAATTTGCTCTGGTTTATCTGGGCTAAACTATGAGTTCAGAGAGGTTCAAAAGCGACTCGTGTCGAATCTTTCTGGCCGATTGATGGTGAAAACTGAACATGGACGCCGGCTGGCAATGGACAGGGCGATGTACTATACTTTGTGATCCCTGCAAGCCGGTGGGCTCTGCCTCTGATTTGTGTTGGTTTCAGAACAGAACAGAGGCTGAAATGAAAATTCAGAGAAAAAGGATGAATGACAAGAGGGCATGGAGCTTGGTTCAAAACCTGAAACATGAGAGCAAGTTATAATAATGACCATTATTATAAATTTTAATTACTGATAAATATTATCTATCTATATATATATATATATAATATTTTAATTGATTATAAAATAATATTTATTTAAAATAAATTTTAATTACTGATGATGCATTATATATATAGAATCGCTTTATGACCAAAATTCTTTTAAAAGTAGGGTAAAATACATAAATGATATCTCGAATATAAAATATTGTTTTATCGAGTCTATCGACTACAAAATTTACAAAATGATCTCTAATTATGAGGTGTTATTTTGTTAAGTCTCTAAACTATTAAAAGTTACAAAATAGTCACATGCCTATTCATATGTTTCAAACTCGTTATTTTTCGTTAAAAAATTGATGACATATGTTTCAAACTCGTCATTTTTCGTTAAAAAATTGATGACAATCTAAGTTGGACGTTAACCTGTTAACTAAGATACAATAGTCTTTTTAGATTTTGATATCATATTTATTGTATCACAGTCAGCAGATTAACACTCAGCTTAGACCGACATCAAATTTTTAACACAAAAGATGAGTTTATAACATATGAATAATCAGGTTACTATTTTATAATTTTTAATAATTGGAGAACTCAACAAAACAATGTATTATAATCGATAGACTATTTCATAATTTTTAATAGTCACAATAAAGTAACGTCTTATGTTCAATAATTATTTGTATATTTTATCCTACAAAATAATATATTTTTTTTACAATTAATAGATTCTACTTATCACTATATTAAATGTTGGTAAAAAATGCATTCAAAGTCTATGTACTTTTAAAAAAAATCAATATGACTTTCATATTATTTTATCTCTCAATGTGGTCATTTTACCAACGCTTTTCATCGTTAATCGTTACGATGCTAATATAACAGTTCACAATACTAACATGACAGTTCACGGTGCTGACATGGTAGTCTAAGGTGGCAGATTAACGTGACGGATGACATGATAGATTAGTTAAATTGATAACTCAAACATAACAAATTAACTGTTATATCAGCACCGTGGACTACCACTTTAACATCATGAATTTACATGCCACTAATATAAAGATCGAAGACGAAAAATATTAATTAAAAGACCATACTAAATTTATTTTCTAAGTTTAAAGGGTTATATTAAAAAGTAAAATAATATGAATATCACATTAAATTTTTATCAAAAATACACGATGCTCTGATATTTTTTTACCTTGAATTTTTAATGAATCGAATCTTAACCCTACACATGTGGTTTCTCGCAGTGTCCTCCGGGCGCAAGTTAGCTATCCGACGTGATCGTCCCAGCGATCAAAAGGCGCCGCTATCTTGGGGATACGTGTTTAGGCTTAAGAGGCAGAACGTGGACACGTGTCAGGCTTCAATTGGGCGAGTGCATCAACGGCTAATTCGGATGCTGTCTCGTCTACCGGATCTGGGGCCCATTTTTGAGGCAGACCCTTTTATATAAAAATAAAAAATAAAAAGAAAACGCTTCGAAGCAAAGTAAATATTGAAAAGCTTACAAAATAGGGAAGTTTGGTTCGTGTTATTTAACGTTACATAATATAATAATATTTGTTTAAAGATAAATTTTATTTATTTGATAGTAAATATTTATATCATTAATATTCAAGTTTAAAATTTTAAAAATATCAATAATTATTTTATTATCTAAATAAATAAAACAATGTTAAATAAAACAACACAAAGTAAAAAATGTTTATAAAAATGATTTGATTTTACCAGAGAGTAAAGGTGTAGATGGATCAAATAGTTAAAACATAATGTCAACAGTAAAAAGTAAAAAAGAACAAAGGAAGAGAATTGAAGGGTAAGCCTCAATGTCCCCAAGTCTTGAACAGTTTCTCAACAACTCTGCAGATTTACGGCAGTACAAGACAAACCACAAGGAACCACCAAAGCTTGTCTGGTTCCGGAACAAGTGGCAATAAAAAAACTGGAACTTGAAATGGTAGTCTTGAGCAGTGATTAAATACCCAGAAATGGCAGAAAAAAATAAGTAAACAAAGAATGAATGAAGCCAAGGTTTTTGATTGGGTCCCACTCTCAAATCTGTGACAGAGACGGCAGTTTCATTGCTTCATCTTCCATCTTATTTAAATCTCTCGTTCCATTGAGTTTCTCATTCGAGTCTCCTTCTCTGTCTAGAATTTATTTTCTTAGTAATATAATATAGTAGAAAAAGATGGGAGTTTTTTGTTTGTGTTGTGGCCGTCTGTGATTTCTTTCAATGGGTTAAAACAAAGTCTTTTCTTTCACACCTTTCAATCTCAGGAAATTAATAAAAAATAAAACGTGGTGTGTGTGTGAAGAATTTAGGTTTTGACAACTTCAAAGTCCAACAAGGTCTGGGTTTTTCTCTCCCCTTTATTGTATTAGCTTCCTTATTCTCATATCTTGGCCTTCTCTGTACTGGGAAATGAAAAAAAAGGTTGGCCTTTTAAGCTAAATTTGGTATTGATTCTGTTGATGAAATCCTTGTTTGAGCCTTTGGGTGATCTGAAGATTGAATCTTGAGTGATGGGTCTTTCTTTTGTTTTGTTTTAGTGTTTGAAAAGATCTGATTTGGGGTTGGCGGTGATATGGAGGAGGTTGAAGAAGCTAACAAGGCAGCAGTTGAGATCTGCCATAGAGTTTTGAGCTTTTTGTCTCATCCTCAAGATCAAGCTCATCACAGAACTTTAATGGCTGAAACCGGTGAAGCTGTTTTCAGGTTCAAAAGAGTAGTTTCACTTTTAAACGCTGGTTTGGGACATGCAAGAGTTAGGAAGCAAAGGAAATTACAAACCCCTTTTCCTCAGAGCATCCTTTTGGATAATCAACACCATCCATTCAAGGATTTGCAGCTCGGTTTCCATGGAAACTCAGTTCAAGAACTGAGTTTACATGCCAAGAGTTCTCTCTGTCTGGGGAACTCGTCTTTGGAACTGAGTTCAAATGCCAAAACCCCTCTTCAACTCGCTCAACGGTCACCGTACGGTCACCATCATTTCCTCCACCAACAACGGCAGCAGTTTCAACAAAGCTTACAGCTCCAACAGCAAATGAAACCTCAAGCTGAAATGTTGTTTAGGAAGAGTAATAGTGGGATCAGCTTGAACTTTGATAGCTCTAGCTGCACACCTACCATGTCATCCACTAGGTCTTTCATCTCTTCCCTTAGTATAGATGGTAGTGTGGCTAATTTCGACAACGGGAACGCCTTCCGTTTGATCGGGGCACCTCGATCACCGGATCAGGGTTCCCTACACCAGAAGAAGTGTATCGTCAAGGGTGAAGATGCGAGTATCAAATATGGGACTAGTGGTAAATGCCATTGCTCGAAAAAGAGGTTAGATCCTCTCTTTATAGAATTATGGTTTTGATATTAGTTCTCATAATTGTTTTTAAGCTTTATTGGTTGCATTATATTGGCAGGAAACATAGAGTGAAGAGATCAATCACGGTGCCTGCTGTCAGTAACAAGCTTGCCGATATCCCTCCCGATGATTATTCGTGGAGGAAATACGGGCAGAAGCCGATCAAGGGTTCTCCTCACCCTAGGTAATCATTATCATCTTATGTATGGTATGATATATCGTCAAATCGAATTTCGGTGTTGCCTGTTTGGTTTTGCTCATGACATTACAAATTTTGCGTCTGTGATATCTGATTATCACTTCCATTAAGCATACCACATATAATGCCTTTAACTTCTTAGTGTTTATGTCGTTGATTAATGGCGGTGCTGGTTTCCGTTCCTTGTTTAAAATGTTCATAGGAAGCTTGTTAATTTGTCGTGTGCGCGGTTTGTCGAATCCACTGCAAAATATCGACTCAGAGGCCTTTCCTTTTTAACTGGTGCAGGGGATATTACAAATGTAGCAGTATGAGAGGTTGCCCTGCAAGGAAGCACGTCGAGAGGTGCCTGGAAGAGCCGTCCATGCTTACCGTTACCTATGAAGGCGAGCATAACCACCCAAAGTTACCGTCACAAACGACGGCATAGTCTCGATGGAAACTCTGCTGAAGAATTCAAGTCTTCAATGTTCAATCTATTATGGTTGGCTCGACTCGGCCGTGTAAATATTTCGCATGGGGCATATCGGAGCAGGGTTTTTCAAGCCATTTTAACAAATGAGGTAGTCGGCATTAAGCCGAGTGCCGAACCAAAAGAAATTGTGGAATTGGGGGTCTAGATTGTAAAGAACCGCAATCAAAGCTTGAAAAGAGATGAACTTTTTGAATTAATTGAAATGCCATTGGTGGTGCTTCTGAAGATTATATTATTGGTCTTTTTTTTCTTTCGTGGGGTTGGATTTCTTTCATCTGCAACATGCCAGTTGGGTTATATTTGGAACCAAACTAAAATTGTGGAAAAATTGTCCCAACTAACCAGTTTTGGTCAGAATTTTTGAAGTTTTCTGTTCGCGTTCTGGGTTATTTTTGTCTCTGTGTGAACCTTGCACGTACAGCTGGAAACTTATGAAAATGACATAACCAGGGTACACGAAACTGGCTGGCTGAGTTAGCCACCTCCAATTATATATATATATATATATAATTGCAAGTGAAACTCTAGTGAGCCTTTGCAACAATGCATGTGAGCTCAACACGGTTCGACAACACATTCCAATTGCATGTCTCGAGTGATCAAATTATCCTAATTTTTTATTGGATATAATCTTATATGAATGATCCCTTTTAATTTTATGTTCGGATCGGATTTTCAGATGGATAAAGTCGAGTTGGAATTGAGTTTGGGATCTAAAATATTTGATCCAATTTGGGATAATAATATAACTCTCTTCTATTATTTAGGTAAACTATTATAATGTCTCTCTATATATATATTTTACATATGTTTACATATTTTTCTATTTTCAACGAAAAAAAAAACGAAAAAAAATCAAAAAATTTTGTGCTGAGGTCGGTCGAGGTGGATTTTGATCCTAAAATTTTGGGTCATATTCGAGTCGAGTGAAAAATTATAGAAAATCGGACCGGAATAAGTAAAACCTTTCGATTTTCGAGTGAGGTTATTAAATTTGAGAAGATAAAACTCGACCTGACTGAGTGATTTGAAACCGAACCAGCCTGAACCAGTCTGGTTCTTGTTAGTCAAAGGAATGATGATGGGAGTAACACTTAGGGTTGAATTTTGGGTAAAGAACTTGGTGTTCAAACAACTCCTAATGCAACAGACTTAGATAACAAGTAAGATGGGTCGAACATGTAAATGAGTTGAGAGGAGCTACCAATGGGTTAGTTGTAGAATAAGATGATGCCCAATCAGAAGACACGAGTCAAATCTGTCAACTAAAACATCAAGTCACGTATGGAATGCCTTACGAAGCTTTGGTTTCTGGTTGGGCAATGTGGGCTGGCTTTCCCAAGTCTTTGAGGCTTTATTATATATATAAAAAAACCGTTTATTATTTTATTGAAAAAATAACATCAAACAACATTAATTAGAAAAAATATCTTAAATTATACACATAAGATTATCTCGAGTCCCAAAGATTGACAGAGAATGATGACAGAGAATGATGACAGATGCATAACCTTCCCTTGAGTGGAATAAACCTGGAGGAATGGGTGACACCAATACCAGGCCTTCCGTGCTTAACAGGCTTGTATGAGATTGAGAAGTCAGTCAAATAGTGGCTAATCATTTCTGGCTTAATTTCCACTTGGTTGAAGGTCTTTCCATTGTAAACACCGATGATACTGCCGATCATTTCGGGAACTATAATCATATAACGGAGGTGTGTCCTAACTGGCTCAGGTTTCTCACAAGTAGAGGAGCCTCACGTTTCTATTTCAAGACAGCAGAATAATAGTCTCAGTATATGGTGCTATCTATTACTAGTACTTACTTTGGTCATTACTTGGAAATTTAAATCAGTATAATACATCAATGAATAATCATGATTCATGGCTATGAGGCTATCTGTGTACATCACCGACTATATCTGCAACAGAAGCCAAAAATCTCATAAAACTGAGATTCTGAAGATGATACTAAATAATAGCTCAAAGAAGGGCAAGGAAGAAAGGAAGATACTCATAAAATTATAGTTTTAAGTACCATGATATCTAAAAAATAGCAAACAAGCTCACTGATGGTGCCAAAAATATTTTGGGTGGACGTGCAAGCGTATATACGCATAAATATATATTAACAACATAAAATTTTTGATGTCTACCCTGACGCCTCAGTGGATCCATCACTGATCAAGCTATTACAATTTACAACCATGAGTCCCTGACATCATAAGCTTCCCAACAAGTTGCTCGTACAACAGTAAACTCAATTAAGTACACAACTCAAGAGAACCAATCAAGAGGGGAAAACGACTGCATTGTTAACTACAGAAAACCAGATCCTTGGAATATAACAAAAGTGAACATCAAAAACTTCTAAGAACAAAAGACCACCGGCTATTGAATCTAGAAAGCTTTCGGAAACTGTAGACGACCGTCAATACCAATTATATATGTCTAGTCAATCGCATGAAAGCAACATCGAGATCGACGCCTCTGAAACTGAACTTCTTGAACGTTCTCTTCTTTGGTACACCAGGTGCAGCAGCATCGGCATCCACGTCTACCATGTCATCCACTAGGAAATGAAACCTCAAGCTGAAATGTTGTTTAGGAAGAGTAATAGTGGGATCAGCTTGAACTTTGATAGCTCTAGCTGCACACCTACCATGTCATCCACTAGGTCTTTCATCTCTTCCCTTAGTATAGATGGTAGTGTGGCTAATTTCGACAACGGGAACGCCTTCCGTTTGATCGGGGCACCTCGATCACCGGATCAGGGTTCCCGACACCAGAAGAAGTGTATCGTCAAGGGTGAAGATGCGAGTATCAAATATGGGACTAGTGGTAAATGCCATTGCTCGAAAAAGAGGTTAGATCCTCTCTTTATAGAATTATGGTTTTGATATTAGTTCTCATAATTGTTTTTAAGCTTTATTGGTTGCATTATATTGGCAGGAAACATAGAGTGAAGAGATCAATCACGGTGCCTGCTGTCAGTAACAAGCTTGCCGATATCCCTCCCGATGATTATTCGTGGAGGAAATACGGGCAGAAGCCGATCAAGGGTTCTCCTCACCCTAGGTAATCATTATCATCTTATGTATGGTATGATATATCGTCAAATCGAATTTCGGTGTTGCCTGTTCGGTTTTGCTTATGACATTACAAATTTTGCGTCTGTGATATCTGATTATCACTTCCATTAAGCATACCACATATAATGCCTTTAACTTCTTAGTGTTTATGTCGTTGATTAATGGCGGTGCTGGTTTCCGTTCCTTGTTTAAAATGTTCATAGGAAGCTTGTTAATTTGTCGTGTGCGCGGTTTGTCGAATCCACTGCAAAATATCGACTCAGAGGCCTTTCCTTTTTAACTGGTGCAGGGGATATTACAAATGTAGCAGTATGAGAGGTTGCCCTGCAAGGAAGCACGTCGAGAGGTGCCTGGAAGAGCCGTCCATGCTTACCGTTACCTATGAAGGCGAGCATAACCACCCAAAGTTACCGTCACAAACGACGGCATAGTCTCGATGGAAACTCTGCTGAAGAATTCAAGTCTTCAATGTTCAATCTATTATGGTTGGCTCGACTCGGCCGTGTAAATATTTCGCATGGGGCATATCGGAGCAGGTTTTTTCAAGCCATTTTAACAAATGAGGTAGTCGGCATTAAGCCGAGTGCCGAACCAAAAGAAATTGTGGAATTGGGGGTCTAGATTGTAAAGAACCGCAATCAAAGCTTGAAAAGAGATGAACTTTTTGAATTAATTGAAATGCCATTGGTGGTGCTTCTGAAGATTATATTATTGGTCTTTTTTTTCTTTCGTGGGGTTGGATTTCTTTCATCTGCAACATGCCAGTTGGGTTATATTTGGAACCAAACTAAAATTGTGGAAAAATTGTCCCAACTAACCAGTTTTGGTCAGAATTTTTGAAGTTTTCTGTTCGCGTTCTGGGTTATATTTGTCTCTGTGTGAACCTTGCACGTACAGCTGGAAACTTATGAAAATGACATAACCAGGGTACACGAAACTGGCTGGCTGAGTTAGCCACCTCCAATTATATATATATATATATATAATTGCAAGTGAAACTCTAGTGAGCCTTTGCAACAATGCATGTGAGCTCAACACGGTTCGACAACACATTCCAATTGCATGTCTCGAGTGATCAAATTATCCTAATTTTTTATTGGATATAATCTTATATGAATGATCCCTTTTAATTTTATGTTCGGATCGGATTTTCAGATGGATAAAGTCGAGTTGGAATTGAGTTTGGGATCTAAAATATTTTATCCAATTTGGGATAATAATATAACTCTCTTCTATTATTTAGGTAAACTATTATAATGTCTCTATATATATATATTTCACATATGTTTACATATTTTTCTATTTTCAACAAAAAAAAAACGAAAAAAAATCAAAAAATTTTGTGCTGAGGTCGGTCGAGGTGGATTTTGATCCTAAAATTTTGGGTCATATTCGAGTCGGGTGAAAAATTATAGAAAATCGGATCGGAATAAGTAAAACCTTTCGATTTTCGAGTGAGGTTATTAAATTTGAGAAGATAAAACTCGACCTGACTGAGTGCTTTGAAACCGAACCAGCCTGAACCAGTCTGGTTCTTGTTAGTCAAAGGAATGATGATGGGAGTAACACTTAGGGTTGAATTTTGGGTAAAGAACTTGGTGTTCAAACAACTCCTAATGCAACAGACTTAGATAACAAGTAAGATGGGTCGAACATGTAAATGAGTTGAGACGAGCTACCAATGGGTTAGTTGTAGAATAAGATGATGCCCAATCAGAAGACACGAGTCAAATCTGTCAACTAAAACATCAAGTCACGTATGGAATGCCTTACGAAGCTTTGGTTTCTGGTTGGGCAATGTGGGCTGGCTTTCCCAAGTCTTCTTTGGGTACGAACTATAAAAAAGTTTGAGGCTTTATTATATATAAAAAAACCGTTTATTATTTTATTGAAAAAATAACATCAAACAACATTAATTAGAAAAATATCTTAAATTATACACATAAGATTACCTCGAGTCCCACAAAACGTAATTTAAGGATCTCGTTTTTTACAGAACGCGAGATTCATCAACTTTGAAGATTGACCGAGAATGATAACACATGCATAACCTTCACTTGAGTGGAATAAACCTGGAGGAATGGGTGACACCAATACCAGGCCTTCCGTGCTTTACAGGCTTGTATGAGATTGAGAAGTCAGCCAAATAGTGGCTAATCATTTCTGGCTTAATTTCCACTTGGTTGAAGGTCTTTCCATTGTAAACACCGATGATACTGCCGATCATTTCGGGAACTATAATCATATAACGGAGGTGTGTCCTAACTGGCTCAGGTTTCTCACAAGTAGAGGAGCCTCACGTTTCTATTTCAAGACAGCAGAATAATAGTCTCAGTATATGGTGCTATCTATTACTAGTACTTACTTTGGTCATTACTTGGAAATTTAAATCAGTATAATACATCAATGAATAATCATGATTCATGGCTATGAGGCTATCTGTGTACATCATTGACTATATCTGCAACAGAAGCCAAAAATCTCATAAAACTGAGATTCTGAAGATGATACTAAATAATAGCTCAAAGAAGGGCAAGGAAGAAAGGAAGATACTCATAAAATTATAGTTTTAAGTACCATGATATCTAAAAAATAGCAAACAAGCTCACTGATGGTGCCAAAAATATTTTGGGTGGACGTGCAAGCGCATATACGCATAAATATATATTAACAACATAAAATTTTTGATGTCTACCCTGACGCCTCAGTGGATCCATCACTGATCAAGCTATTACAATTTACAACCATGAGTCCCTGACATCATAAGCTTCCCAACAAGTTGCTCGTACAACAGTAAACTCAATTAAGTTCACAACTCAAGAGAACCAATCAAGAGGGGAAAACGACTGCATTGTTAAATTATATGGTAATACGTTACCAAGGGTAGTAACTACAGAAAACCAGATCCTTGGAATATAACAAAAGTGAACATCAAAAACTTCTAAGAACAAAAGACCACCGGCTATTGAATCTAGAAAGCTTTCGGAAACTGTAGACGACCGTCAATACCAATTATATATGTCTAGTCAATCGCATGAAAGCAACATCGAGATCGACGCCTCTGAAACTGAACTTCTTGAACGTTCTCTTCTTTGGTACACCAGGTCCAGCAGCATCGGCATCCACGTCCGCCTAAACAAAAACGAGACGAAAACATAGAAAATGCACCGGTGTTATGACCGTGTTTGGATCCCGAGAAACTAGAAGAAAACGATCTAGGAAGTCATGCAACATTGGAAGTAAAGAGAGAGAAGCGAAGCTAGAGACGATGGCGAGACCATGGCTTGAAGATGAAGCAGTGATCGGCACCAAGAGTTCGAAGCCGGGGGAGAATGAGGGTGCGTTTTTTAGTGTCTAGGTACTAAAATAGATCAAATAAGATAATTTAAATACTAAATGCATTAAATTTTTAACCACGAGTACTAAAATGAAACAAAAATTATATGTTAGATATGATTTTAAAAAAAATTAAAAGTTTAGGTAGTAAAATGGACTAAAACTAATAGTTTAGATACTAAATGTATATTTTACCCTTAAATTTAAAATATTTATAAAATAATTATTAAAATTTTTGAACGATTATAAAGATAAATGAAACACATGCAAAATTTTTGGTATTGTTGAGCAAATTGAGTGAAAGAATAAGGGCTTATAGGTAACTGCCTACACAATTATGCAAGATTAAATTGCAGAATTTAAATACTAAAATGGAGAAAATATTATAATTCGAAAGTTAAATTAGGACTAAAATCATGCATATTTTTCAATTTCTATTATAGTATAATAAAATAATTTTATATTTTATACGATCTTATATAAAGTTTGATTCGATTAAAGCTCAAACAAACAAAATCCCCTCGTACACATAAAATTGAGAACTACAATTGTATTTAGATCCACATAAAAATAATTTCACAAATACATATTTTTAATTATGCAAGTGTTTTATTTTTTAAATATAATTTTGAAAATGTATACAATGTTTTTTTTTAAAGCGGTCTCTTAAAAACTCGTACCAACACAAGGTTGAGTTTTTACAAGTAAAAAAGGGTGCCCAAAATGCATTAATCAATCCAGTAACGAATCGTTTTTTACAATAGTTGCAAGAAAAGCCGAACAATCCTCCCGCTGTTAAACAGATTGACTATCGCTTAAGTAATGTCTCAGGTTCGAGTTCTTGTATATGTAGAAAATCAATGTCGAAAGATTCATTTATTAAAATTAAATGTTCGACCTAGATCGAATTAGATTAATCAAGATTAAACTTTAAAACTGAAAGGAGAAAAAAAGTAGATGGTATAATAGAAACTTCCTTTTGCAGTATTTTAAAATTTAAATCATTGCTAGACTAACATATTTAGGATTACATTGGAGGCTTATTTCCCTTTTTATTAGGACCTGAAGGTGAGATAGGACTATTCCCCATATTATTAGGACCTGATGGTGGGATAGGCCTATCTCCCTTTTTATTAGGACCAGATGGTGGAATAAACCTGTTTCCTTTTTTATTAGGACCTGATGGTGGGATAGGCCTATTTCCCTTTTATTAGTACCAGACGGTGGAATAGACCTACCCATCTTCACTTGGACCAAGCAAAGATGTTGGAACGAGAGCAAATGGTTGTACAGTCGATCCCTTTTTATAAAGTTAAAGAGAATAAAGGGATAAGAGATAGAACGATTTTATTTTTATCTTGAAATTATTATTTAAAATAATAATTTGAGATAAAATTAATCTCGATAAAATAAATAAAAAATGTTAAACTTCTTAGAAGAAGAGATAAAATAAATGGAAATAAAATACTCTTTTTATTTTGATCTATCGATCGGAATCAGTTGAGGGCTGTAACTGCACAGTTTCTTTAAGACAGATTTTCAGCCACTCATTTAGTGCTAGAGTTCGTTGGTCATCTGTCTCACAATATACAACAACTAATGACCAACTATAGTAACATATCTGCACAGATCACGAACAATTATCACCTTCGATTTTCACCGAAAAAACTAAGAAAAAGAAAAAAGTTTCAAGATAAGAGAAATGCTTGAAAACTGAGTTGTGAGATATGTTAAAATGTGAAAAATCTAACAAGTTTGCTCACTATTGATAAGAGATTTTCAAAAGAGATTTAATCAAACTAAATATCTTTTAATATTCAACATTAAACATATAACAATATCTTTTAATTTGAAATATTCAAAAGATACAACTTCTTTTATCATTCAAACTTAAATATGTATTATTTTAATTTGAAATATACAAAAATATATAATTTTTTTAATATTCAACGTAAAAAAGATAACAAATATCTTTTTAAGTTGACATATTCAAAGAGTAATTATCTTACTAATATTCAAATTAAATAATATATTTAATTTACAATGGTCAAAAGATAAACTCCTTTTACTATTCAAACTTAAACATATATCATTTTAATTTGAAATATACAAAAATTATATAATTATTTTTTAATATTCAAAAATAAAATGATAACAAATACCTTTTTTAACTTATTAAAAGAGTAATTATCTTACTAATATTCAAATTAAAAATTATCTTTTAATTTTTAATAGCCAAAGGGATTATGAATTTAATATAAATATTAAATCCATCAATTAAATTCACTCATTTTCCAACAATCCCCCACTTGAATGAAATTGATGATTTAATCAAAAACATTTCGGCACGATGTGGTTATAGCCTCTACAATTAATAGTTGCATAGGATATGTAGGTGTTATCCTTTGAACCTTTCCTTGTGATATTATTTTTACTTTACTGGTTAAACAGTAGATGCAATGTCCTTGAACTATTCCACCGTTTGTGTAAACGACGACATACTTCACATAACTATCCCTCTAACAGGAATTTAGTTCTCATGGGTATGTCCTTAAAGTCATGAACATCTGCTTGGTTCTGTAAGAGTTTGAAAGAATTATGTCCAATAGTCTCTTTGAAGCAGACCCACTACACTCTCACATAGGTGACTTATGTTGCTCGGCTCATCGAAGCACACAATGATCATTAAAAGCTTTTTGCTTAGCCTATACCACTTTGGTAATTGTTTACATCATTGAAATTGACTTGGGATAAGGAACTCCTATAGTGATTATACACAAATTATGCAATTAGGTTGTCCCTTTGAACCTAGATCTCGATATCTCCAATCAACAAGGTAGAGTTTTCCTTCACATAACACCTTTAAATTTTATGAGCTTTAGTCACATTCATTTAGATGTTTTCTCAACTTGATCTCGATTTAACCATTAGGTTAGCGGATTTACATGACACTTTCTCTTTCCAATGTGAAACATATTCACTTGTGCCATAGATATTTTAAATATAAAATTCCAACTAACATCGGTCTATGATTCTAAGAATATGATAATCAAAGAAAATACAATTCATCATTTAGGATTTATTTTCATTTATTTTGGTAATACAACAATTACATTCTCAGGATCCCACATTTTCAAGTGTTTGTATGACACATATTTTCACATTTTCATAACTCATGTGGTGTCTTATCTTTTTTCCTTTTATGAGACCTTATTTAATTAGTTATCCATTTGATTATCATAATATTGAAATATTTTAGATAACATATATAAAATATCACTAAATTTTTAAAATTTATAAATGATCATGAAATATTTTGAACGACGATAAAGATAAACGCAACAGATGCAAAATTTTTGGTCTTGCTAAGCAAATTGAGTGAATGAGTAAGGGTGTATCGGTAACTGCCTACACAATTATATATGTTGTTACCTACTTTCCTTTGTACTATGCCTACAATTAGGCAAGAATTATATATGTTGTTACCTACTTTCATTTGTACTATGCCTGCAATTAGGCAAAGAATTAAGCAATGACATGTTTGATCTAACCGGGGGCTCGCGATAGTTCGAGTCAAGTGTTATGTTCGAGATTGTTGAGGTGGGAGTCGTGGTTTATAAGATTTTACGTAAATTTTTTAGATCGAAAACTGAATGAGTTGATCAATGATGATAATAATACATTCTTTTAGGCCATTTCGATGAGATATGATGTCATGGTACCATCAAAGAATGAATGACATAACAAATCAAATCATTTCATCTCTTATATACATTCTAACGGAATAATTTGATATGTTTATGATTGATTATGATTAAATATGATGATTTAGTATCATTAGATCTTAATTAAACGAATATATAAATATAAGAAATATGATACTAAACTTCATCAGAAAATTATACAAAGCAAATGTTCGTAAATCAAAATAAACACGATTTAATTATGTTTATATCGATTAATAATCATAAAATTTTATTTGATTGATTTTACATCGATGATTAATGTATGCAACGTATTAATAATACATAGCACGAGTTTTTTATTTTCATAAATTAGTTTACATGTGTTGTATGTGATACCACACATTCAACATCAATAGGACATGTTCAACTTCAACACCATCTCGAGTAATATTTTTCTATCGAATTCTTATTTGATTTTCAAAAGATTTGAAGCATTAGATTCCTTTGTTAATCTATTATCAAATGTGATGAAAAAAATTTAATTTTATATCGAGCATTGTTTTAAAATTCTCTAGAACTACCATAGTATCGAATTAGACTCTCGTTTGGACCAACGCAGCTTAGAAATTAAAATTCTTTCAAAATAATTGTTCAAAATGTGCATGAAAATATTCGTTAGAAAGCTTACAAAATAACCTACATGATGGAATAAACCTTATAAAATTTAATCAACTATAGCTCAAGTTATTATGAAATCAATCGAGACCAAAAACACACTTCAACTACTCATTCCCTTCAATTCCTCGTCTTGAACCGTAGATAAAGGCATTATCCAACGGTTTTTATTTAAATTTTACGAAAGATGGTGATCCGCGTGCTAGTTGTCCCCGCCAATCACATTTCATCGTACGGGTACCGGCTCTCTCAAGGCTAACTATTTAAATCCCTTCATTGCCGTTACCTTCCTCGCACCACGGAAATAGAGGTCGACTGAAATTAGATTCAATCTAATTTCCCAATTGCCGAAACCCTATTTGCGCATCCTTTTGGCTGCAATGGCCACTGAAGAAGAAACGACCGCCGTGGTCGAGGTCGCCACCGTACCGGCGGAAGACAAGCCGGCTGAGACGAAAGCCAGTTCGAAGCCGGGCAAGGCGAAGAAAGCCAAAGAATCTAAAGCCAAGAAAGCCGAAGAACCTAAAGCCAAGAAAGCGCCGGCTTCTAAGAAGCCACGAGCTCATCCTACTTACGAAGAGGTATTTTCGTAATTCGATTTTCAGAAGCTTCGTATGATTTTGTTCTGCTTGGTGTTTTTGGATCTGAACGGTTCGATTTAACGCAGATGATCAAAGAAGCGATCGTTAGTTTGAAAGAGAGGACGGGTTCAAGTCAATACGCTATTACTAAATTCATTGAAGAGAAACAGAAGAATCTTCCTGGAAATTTCAAGAAGCTTTTGCTCTTTCATTTGAAGAAGCTTGTAGCTGCTGGGAAACTGGTTAAGGTCAAGGGCTCATTTAAGCTTCCGTCGGCGAAGACAACTGCTTCTGCTCCGGCGAAGAAGAAACCGGCTGCTACCAAGGCGAAATCTAAGCCTGCTGCCAAGTCCGTGAAGAGTGCTAAATCGGCTCCTAAAGCTCCGGCGAAGACAAAATCTGTATCTAAGGCGAAGTCCAAAGCGGCGGCTAAACCGAAGCCATCCACCAAGGCTAAGTCTACTACCACAAAAACAAAGGCCGCGGCTGCCGCGAAGCCGAAGAAAACCGCGGCTGCAAAGCCAAAAGCTACGACCAAGGCTAAGGCCAAGCCTGCGGAGAAGCCGACCAAAGCTGCTCGGACTTCAACAAGGACGTCCCCGGGGAAGAGAGCGGCTGCTCCGAAGAAGGTTGCCGCACCTAAAAAAGCTCTGGCGAAGAGTGTAAAGCCAAAGAGCGTCAAGTCACCGGCGAAGAAAGCCACGTCGAGGAGGGGGAAGAAATGAGAAGGATGGTTAGTTAATTTGGCGCTAGTGTTGTAAATTAGAGTGCAATTAATCCCGCTGTGATTTTCTATATATTTTAGTCAGATTTCTTATTACGTAATGATTGCGAAACAGTTTTAGATGTAATTTTCGATGGAATGTATTATTGAGAAATTTTCTCTGATTTCTTGCATTCTATGTTTTCCGATCGTCTTCTACATGGTACAATACACAATGGATTAACATATCATATATTTTAATCTAAATATAATTAGTTTAATTATAGTATTAAGTATTCAAATATGAAGTGAACCAAAATAAATAATTATATATATGTACATCAATTTAGATTATTCAATTATTTAAATTTTTAATTCTAGTTTTGGCAATAAAATGGATTCAACATATATTCCAAAGAAGCAAAAGAGATTTGGTTTTAATATACGACGTGAAAGCTTAACAAATGTAAGACCATAAAGCTTTTTCTTTATTTGGAGCAAGACTAATAGCGACAGTTAGTTTTAACGGTGAATCATTTTTCCCCGGACAAAAGTACTCCCCGTTCTCTTTTCTCCGTCTTCTTCTTCGTTATTTAACATCTACGAGATGGATGTTTCGTATCAATTTCATTCGGATTCAGGGATACGGTGATGCTTTTCTAAATATACGAAAACATTGCCGGTGTCGGATATATATGTATATATAAACATATTTGCATGTATATGTATATCTGACACTGTCATCCCGAATCTCAATAACAGTGATCATCAGCGTTGGATAATCCAACTAAGGTATTCTTCATCTTTGAATCATCTTCGATTATTGTATTTGTTAGGGTTGAATCAATAGATTCTCATAATTGGGTTTTCTTTCATTTCGAATTTAATAGGTTAGATCTTGGGTATTGGATTCCAATTTAATTGGGTTTGTTTATGGTGCATTTATCTCAGATTTGCATTGCTAGGTTTTCTGGATTATCATCCAGTCCCAAGAGCAATTCGAGAAAATGACTGCAACCGCCGCTTCATTTCCCAATTTACAAAGGAATTTGAAGGGGTTTACACAGGTCCTAAAGTATGCTGCTTGTGAATGGATTCTCATCGTTCTGCTGTTTGTTGATGGTGCCTTATCTTATATGCTCACCAGTTTTGCAAATTACTGTGAACTGCAAAGCCCTTGCATTCTATGCACGCGGCCCGATCATATTTTCGGGAAACTAAAAGATGGATTTTATCGGAATCTGTTTTGCCGCCACCATAGATCGGAAATTTCGTTCTTGCTTTCCTGCAACATCCACGACAAGCTCGTCGATGGTCGCGGATTGTGTGACGAATGTCTGTCGTCACATGTCAGGGGACATGAATCCGACTTGGAATGCAGAAGACTCATTGGAGGAAAACTAGGGTATGATGGAAAATTTGGTTCCCGAAGCTCGGTTCTCGATGGGGTCATAAGGTTATGCCTGTGCTGCAACAAACCGTGGGCTGGAAGATCAGATTCACATAGATTACTTCAATTAAAATCACATGACATGATGGTTCCGAAGTTGAACATACATCGTAGCCTAAGTCTTTCAAATGACTTGAAAAAAATGAGCCATATGTGTTGGCATATCAAGTAGGAGACACTGAGCTGAAGATCACTTCTGAATTCAAATTCTGTTTTCCGTCGTTCGATGATCTCAACAGCAACAGCGTAGTTCGTGATGTAATCGAGAACAAGCCTAAAAAACAGCCCGAACCCGATGCTAATGAATCTCGTGTTGTGAGATGTTTGGCTCCAGAGAGTGTGAATAAAGAGAAACTGGAAGATGAGAAGGGTAATTTCAATGAACTGCCTGGGCTTGTTTCTCTTGATGATTGTCCTTCATTTGACCTTACGAAAGATCCGAGATTCAGTGCTGCAGTACTGGCTGATCTTATTTCTATGGTTGAAACTTCGAATCCCGATAATAGTAAGGATGCTATTGAACCATTTTCAGACAATTGTATGCACTCTCTGTTTCTTTCCCTGTGTTTATGTTTTGTAGGTCTTATGTTATTATGACTAATATCCGGAACGGTTTGCAATGGCAGCAAGTAATACTGAAAATATTTCTGTCGACAACGACAAAATCATGAACACATCAACTGGAGCACGTCTCGAATCTGGCTGAGTGGTGACCAATACATCCAGGCTGAATTTAATTGCTGGGGATCGGAGTGCACCCGAGTTTGTTATAAAATATATATGCTACCTTACACTAATGGGGCAAGTGGAAACCTCAAATCATCATCAGCAAATAGAAGTGAAAATATTTCTCTCATCAAGAACGATGAAATCTCGAAGTCAATAAGCACCGGTCTCGATACTGATCGATTAGTAGATGATACTAAAAACAAGGGAGTTAATGAAGATGTTAAGTCATTGCCGGCACATAATTGTACCGGAGAAGGTAATCAAATTTCGTTGAACTATTTAAGTCCCAAGTTACAAGATCGTGTGCAACTGAATTGCTGAGAACCAATTCGAACTCCATTGAGGTTCGGAATCTTAAGAACCTTTTCATCGAGGCAATAAGTGAATCCCCTGGCCTCAAAACTTTCGATGAAAGCAGTGTCATTGAAGGTGAAAGTGAGGATAGGCTCGAAAATGCCCGGGAGGACATAAATGCGTTATCTAAGGAATTAGAGGAAGAAAGAAACGCTTCTTCAATTGCTGCATATCAGGCAATGGCAATGATCACAAGGTTGCGAGAAGAGAAGGCATCTCTCCGCATGGAGGCCCTGCAGTACCTGAGGATGATTGAAGAGCAAGCCGAATACGACGTTGAAGCCTTGGAGAAAGCTAACGATCTCCTGACAGAAAAGGAAAGGGAATTAAAAGATCTTGAAGCTGAGCTTGATTATTACAGACGGAAGTTCCCTGATGAAACACCGGACGAGCCGGGACCGGACGCTAGTGTCGACTTAGACAACGAACATGTTCGGATGGTGAATGCAACATGTTCCAAGCAAGTTGATATGGAAAATTCCTTAGAAACAGGATTTCCCGAGGCTTCTTTAGTCGACGATGAACCCGTAGTCATAACCGCATTGTCCGAAATCGAAGACGAGAAGTTGTACATCTCTCACTTGTTGCAAAAGTTAGAGAAGAAACTTAGCAGGCTTGCTCAGTATGGGGCTTCACGAGACTTTTCCGACAACGAACACTCCGACGACGAAAATCATGGATTCTCTTGAAAACGAAATTTCAGAGCTGAATGAGAGGTTGGAAGCACTAGAGGCAGACTGTAGTAGTTTTCTTCAGCATTCATTAAGCTCTCTGAAACAAGGAAAGGAGGGGCTGGTTTTAACGCAGGAGATACTTCACTATTACGTGAAGTAAATAAAACGGGGTTAAAGACCATGGACCCGTCTTCCTGTGAGCTCTATGTAAAAGGGTATGCCATTTTAAACCCTAAACCTCTGAACCCTGAATTATAATCCGATTGATTTTTCACCGTATTACAGGTGCATCCCAGACTTGAGGGTAACTGGCTAGTAGCAGAAGGGCATGAGTTTACACACAAGGCAACGCCCTAGAGTGGATCAGATATGGGAGTAAAACAGTAAAAAAGTGATTACTTACCCATGTTTCTGAAACACGCGTGTGGCTAAGTTGTAGACTGGCGTGATTCTTTTGTTCAACCATTTTTTTTAATTTCAATTGTAAACTGAGAAAATCTCAATATATAATTTAATTTGACGGTTAATAAAAAGAACACTTTTATTAAATATTAACGAATAAAGGTTCATAATTTGATTAAAATAAAATTAAAATTTTAATAATTTAATTAAGTATACGTCTTTGCTTACGTTTATAACATCGCCGACCGCCATTCTTTTGTTCACACTCGTTTTAGCCTTAAAGTGGTCCGCCGGCCCTAAATTTCCTTTTACATGGACACCGAGTCAAAATTTGAAGACTGACGTAGTTGTTGTGTACTCTAATTCTCAAACTCAATCATCGATGACGATATTTAATTAAAAAACATCAACACTTTTCACACCATGAACGTTCCTAATCATTAGGTATTAACCCCCCCCCCCAAGAAATATGATTATAAAATTGCATTCTAATAAATATATCAATCAAATTTAATTAATTTATTTTTTATTACCGGCAAAGGGGTAATTTTTGCTCGGGTAACACATTCAATTTATCATTTTCATCGTATCGTATTTTCGTATTAATTTAGTCATCGCAGTTGTTTAATTATATTATTTTATATCGTATTCCTAACTTAAAACCCTAAATTATAAACCTTAAACTCTAAACTATAATTTCAATCTCTAAATCATAAACTCTAAATTTTAATTTAAGTTTTATAATTTGAGGTTTTAAATTAGAAGCAATATATAAAATGATGTAATTAAACATCTTTGGAGGTTAAATAAATACGAAAATATGATATAAGCAAAAAATAATAAATTAGGTATACACAGTAATAAAACAACCCTTAAACCTTTAATATATTATTGACATCAAAATTATTTTTCAATTTTTAAGGAAGAAAAACTAATTTAATGTGGAGTCGAAATTTTAGATGGAGGACTCATTAGAAAAATAATTTATTGAGATCGAAATAATTAATTATTTATTGCGTAGCTTATGGTAGTAAAGGGTTCCTCCCTGAACACGACAAAAAAGCTATAAGAAACTTCTAAATTACCTAAGCTAGAGGCCGGCGGATTGGTGCTAACAATTTAATTTTTTTGACATTAAAAGAGGTTGCCTTGGTCTCTTTGATAGGAAAAATAAATAAATTACGGATTTAGTATCTAAATTATCAATTTTGATATATTTTAATATTAAAAATTTTAATTTTTATTTCATTTTAATAACCACCATTAAAGACTTTAGCTTTTATTTTATTTTAGTACTCTATTCAAAATTTAACGTCAATTTTTAAAAAAATTAATAATTTAAATACTAAAACGGATCAAAATTAATAGTTCAAGTACTAGTTGTGTTAAGATTTTAACGACGATACCCTAAAATAAAAAAAAAGTAAACGTTAATTATGAATTTTAAAAAAATTTAAATACTAAAACAGATCAAACATATTTTATCCTAGAAAAAAGTTGTTGTCTCCCATGTCAACTAATATAATTTAATGTATATAATTAATTTCATTTTGACATAATTTACCCTGTTATGTATATTGAAATGCTCATGATTCTAGAAACTTTATCGTATATGGAACAGAGAAAAACTGGTCTATAAATAGAGCTGAACATGTTGAGAATCTTATGAAGCAAACCCTCACAGGATCATTAGCAAGATGTTGATTCAGCTATTTACTTCGTTTTTTCTTCTCATTCTTCCATTTGTCATCCTAAAAATCATCACCAAAACATCAAAATCCAAAGAATCTGATCCTTCAATTCCCCCCAAACATTATCCGATAATCGGTTCTTCTTTAGCCCTCAAATCCCACGAAGAAGATCGTGTGCAATGGACTGCACAAATCCTCCAGAACTCTCCCTCTGGAACTTTCACCTTCCACCTCTTATTCGGTGGTCGGCATATTTTCACGGCGAATCCAGCCAATGTCCAGCACGTACTCAAAACCCAATTCTCCAACTACCAGAAAGGCCCTTCGTCTTACAGCGTTCTCTTCGATTTTCTCGGCAACGGAATCTTCAACGTCGACGGCGAGTCGTGGAAGTTCCAGAGACAAGTTTCCAGCCACGAGTTCAACACCAAGTCTCTTCGTAAATTTATTCAAGACGTTGTTGATACCGAGCTTAATGGGCGTTTGATCCCGATGTTTTCCGGTGTTGCTGCTGATGAGAACGTGCTTGACTTGCAAGATATTCTTCAGAGATTCGCTTTTGACAATGTTTGTAAGATCGCTTTCGGGTTTGACCCAGCATGTGTTTCGCCGTCGTCACCGGCGGCGGAGTTCGCTGAAGCGTTTGAAGATGCTACTAAAATAAGTGGCACAAGGTTCCGTGCTTTGTTTAGTTTATCCTGGAAAATCATGCGATTTTTCGATGTGGGATCGGAGAAGAGACTGAGAATTGCGGTCTCTCGAGTTCGTGACTTTGCGATGAAGATCGTAAGGGAAAAGAAACAGGAATTAGCTGATAAATCGTCTTTGGAATCCGTTGATCTTCTATCGAGGTTTTTGAGCTCCGGCCTCACGGACGAGAATTTCGCGACGGATATTGTCATCAGCTTTATACTCGCCGGCCGCGACACGACGTCGGCTGCTTTGACGTGGTTTTTCTGGCTATTGTCCAAGAACCCTGGAGTTGAAGAAGAGATTCTCAAAGAAATCAAAGGGAAATCCGGCATGCCGGTGTTCGAGGAAGTTAAAGACATGGTTTACACGCATGCCTGTCTCTGCGAGACTATGAGACTGTACCCTCCGGTTCCGGTGGACGGCAAGACGGCGGAGAACGACGATGTTTTGCCAGACGGGACGGTGGTGAAGAAAGGAACGATAGTGACGTATCATCCTTACGCAATGGGGAGGATGAAGATGCTATGGGGATCGGATTGGGCAGAGTTCAAGCCGGAGCGGTGGTTGCAGAGGGACGAGGGAGGGAAATGGAGCTTTGTGGGGAGAGATCCTTACACTTATCCAGTGTTCCAGGCGGGACCCAGAGTTTGTTTGGGAAGGGAGATGGCGTTTCTGCAGATGAAGAGGGTGGCGGCAGGCGTTCTACGACGGTTCAAGGTTGTGCCGGCGGTGGAGGATGGGTTTGAACCATCGTTTGTTGTTTCCCTGACGTCGAAGATGAAAGGTGGCTTCCCAGTGAGGATTGAGGAAAGGGGAGATGTCGAGTAGCTAATAATGCGTTGAGATTAACGTGCCAGTGAATTTAATTTTTTTTATATTAATTTTGGTCTTTGTTCTTTTTGTTCCACTGCCATTTATAAATTATAAACATAGTACGGATGTAATAAGCAGAACAACTACTTTTAATTAAACAATTAAATTTATAAATCATAATCATATCGTGTTTATTGTGCTGATTATTTGTTAAATTTTATGGAGGTTAAAGCCTCATAATATAATAATAATAATAATCTTAATTTAATCCAAATTTTAAAAAAATTTCGGTATTAGTTTCGAATTTTTATTTTAAAGTAAAGGTGATTATTTGACTTAATTGAGTAAAGTAAAAGCAAATAGGGTAAATAACGAGTTTAGTATTTAAAGTATCAGTTTTGGTCCGTTTTGGTATATAAACTTTTAATTAAAATCATATCTAACTTTTAATTTTTGTTACATTTTAGTACAGTGTCATTAAAAACTTAACGGATGGGTTGGCATGACATAGCTCCAGTGGACCAAGAGAGAATGACAAGGCCACTAACATAGTCTGATTTCAGGACCATCAGACGATTGACGATGAAGATCGGAGGATAAAGAAGTCAAAGAGTCCGTCGTCGATCTGGAGAGATTGAGGCATTTTCGGTGAAATGGAGGTCAGAATCACATTCAGGGGGTGAAAAAGGTGCGAGATATAAAGTTTGAGCTTCATCGACCGACGAGACCATCCATTAAGTTTTTAATGACGAGATACTAAAATAAAACAAAAACTAAACGTTAGGTATGATTTTTAAAAATTTAAAAGTTTAGGTATAAAAATAGATCAAAACTGATAGTTTATACACTAAACGTCTAATTTACCTAAACATATTTTAATTAATTAAATTGATGAATTATATTTTATAACTCGAACTTTATTTAAAATCTTTTCTGACTGAATTTATAAAATTACGAGTCTAATCAAATTAATCTTTTTGGCGTCAAATCAAATTTGATTTTTAAAGTCAAGTTTTGTTTACGTCTACATATATATTCAATTTTTTTAATATATACTAATTTTGATATATAATATTTACAGTTCTCTTGGCTTCCGTATGTTGACGAGGAGATCAACCGGTTATTACCAAGGGGATTTTTGAGGGGTCCCACTTATGGTGTGTCGTGACGCCATTATTCAATTATGTGATTGTTGAGTGACACGCTGCTAATAGAGTGATGCGACAGTTTCCGTCGCATCAGCTGATTCCTACGTAGGTGGTTGATATGGATGTGCTCTATAGAATTGATACGCGTGGGAAACATACCGAAAATTGGCTTGTGAAACACGCTATATACATTGACGCATGGAACCAGAATGAACAATCGCTCCCCCGCGTCTCGACATTACACCGCTGGACCTAGATTTCGACTATTCTCTCTATCTTCGAAATTACGAAGCAAATGAGGAACCATATCTCACGACACCGGAAGAGAGGGGAGAATGGTAACATCATCAGGCTACATGCGCCTAGTCCAAGTCCAAGAATAAAACATCATCGTCTTCTTTTGCTTCAGCATCTGCAGTTGAAGAGTACTATTATGCATCTCACGCTAGTTTCAGTTTTTATCCTCCATTTCATAATTCAACCGAGACTCGATCGAATTGGGTTGGAGGCTCATGGGATGCATCGCAATGCACTCAAGCATCTTCGACATAATATGCTTTTAATGTCATAAATCTATCACCGCATTTTGAAGCCAAGTCGACGTAGTTACGACAATGATGGCTTTAAATGTCATAAATTTATCACCGTATTTTGAAGGTGGATCGTAAAGTGTGTTAAATACACCTCATCGGGAAGACGATGACAACGATAAAGACGGTGATCAACGCCTACGACTCCGGCGTACTCGATGAGCCCTACGACATTACCATTCGACTACTCCGTGACATCGTCAAGAACTTAGGAAATATAGATAAATTTTCCTTGTAAATATTTATTTTTTCCAATTATTTAATTACTTTGTATTTTTTAAAATATAAATAAATTCATTTTTACTTTTATTTTAATTTTTTTAAAATTTTATCCGGCCGAACTCCTCACCTGACGAGTTCCAATTTACCGTTGGCCATGACCGTTGCCCATATAGCCGTTGACCAACGACTAATTTTTTAAATTTGAAGGAACTCGTCACGTCAAGATGACGAGTTTCACGCAATTTTTTTAATTTATACTTATTTTATTTTATTTTTTAATTAAAAAATATTTTTTAAATGAGATCGTCACACTAGGTGACGAGTCATTTTAATGGTAATAAAATAATGATCCACGTAAAACCCACTACACGAGGATAATTTAAAAATAATTTCTTGAGGAACTTATCACCTCGAGGTGACGAGTTCGATGTTCATCAGAGAGAATTGTAATAGTTTTCAAAATAAAATCTATATTGGCCTAATACCCTAAATAATTAACAGCTTGGGGTATTTGGAAAAAAAACCCCTTATATCTAGCCCATAAGTTTGTTTCGTGGACCCAATTAATGGATATGGTTCATGATCTGATTGATTGGACTAGGGTCTGTTACATTCCTAGGAGTAAGGTTGAGCAACGAGACCGAGAAAATTGAAAAATCGACACGAATCGAGTAAAACGGTTCGGTTCGATTTGGTATTATACGGTTCGGTTTAAAAGTCTCAATTCTTTTGATTCGGTTTAGTTCGAGTTTTTCATATGGAACCCATTTATTCCATATTGAACCGAATAGGCAATTTTTTTAAAAAAATTATAGTTTCAAGTGATTTTTTCATTGAAAAACCGATAAACCGAACCGAACCGTTTAAAAAACCGAACCGAACCGAAAAAATCGATTTCGATTTTTTAACTATTCGATTTCGGTTTAAATTTTGAAAAACCGTTTATTTTGATTCGGTTTAGTTTAATTTTTGATAAAAAAATCGAACCGAACCGAACCAAATACACCCCTACCTAGGAGAAATCAAAAGTTAACCTAGGAGAAACGTAACATAAAGTATGCTAATTTATTTAATATCGATCGTAAGAAAGAGAGAAAACAAATCGGGGATTTGGGGGACTTATTTCATGTTCATGAACTATTATCACTAGCTAAATCAATAAAATACTAAAAAATATAATATAAATATAATCATCTTAGTAAGTATTAATAAGTTGCTATCTATAACAAAAGGAGAGACTCATTTGAGACTAAGCTGCATCATGAAATGGAGCCACTGGAACTGGCCGCAACACGGCCTGCAAAGGCCTCCTCTCCGACACAAGGCGGGCCTCTGCGGCCACGAAAGTGAGTGCAGCCATTGTGTCCAGGGGGAGGGATATGTACTCCCTTGGCCTTTTGGACAGCCTGCAACGTAAGATCGTCTTTGTTCAGAATCCGCCTAGAAACGTCGTACAAGTGGTTGCTGACAAGAAAAATCACAGCTGCAATGACAAGGAGATGATGTAGGTTCTTCATCGTAATGTATATGATGCAAAACTAGCTAGAAAATATATTGTAGATAGCCAGGATCGATCCGGTCCTGAAATTGAAGATAATAAGGCTGCGAGCAAGGCGTATTTATATGTGATCTAGCCCTGGCAACTTGAACGACTTCAACAAGTGGGCCTTGACTTAGAAGAGAGAGAAAATAACCATGTAAGATTAAAAGTAAAAAATGGGGTGTGGGTGGCCTCGTGATGGGACTATAAATCGAGAAACAAAGACTCTAAACAGTACACATAAACTGGGTTCGGATGAAGATTTTGTTTGAATGAGCCACACGATATCTGTTCCATTAATGCTTACAGGCTTAATTCTTTGAACATTTCTGCGTTTTATGTCACATGTTTCCTATGGTAAGCTTTCAGATCTCATGAGAAAAATCATGTTTAATTAAAGGTGTTTGATGAAGATTTTGTTTGCATGGCTCATGAAGCTTTCAAATAAACGAAAATTTTGAATCTATGGGATAAACGAGGAAAGAGACACTGAAGCTTCGACAATGGAAAGAGAGAAGACGAGATCCCCTCCAAATGACTGTCTGCTTCAACGTGGGGTTAGTGTCCATAGACCGAATACCTTCCAACCCTTACACAAACAGCTTGACCTTGGAGATTGAGGGAAGAGAAAGGAATATGAAGAATGTGTGGGACGGGGATTTTTTTTTTTTTTTTTGAATTATCTTCATTTAAACTCATAAATTTATTTATTTTTATTTTAAAGGGTTCGAGTATCAGTATCCAACTTAAAATTAAATACTATTAGCTATCAGATACTTTGAATTAAAGAATTCAGCATACACCATATGCACCAATAAGAGAACTTCAAATTCAACATACCCGAGAAAAAAAGAATAAAAAGAATGGAAATACTTTGAAATGAAGTATATAAACTTAGATCTTTTCATTAACAATCCATGATCTTGGGTTTAGCAAATACTTTATACATCTAAACAGAACAAATAATTATAATGGCAGAGGAATCGGGAATCAGTGGCATGGTTTTTCTATCCAAGCACTGCAAATAAACATACACCATGTGCACCAATAAGAGAGCTTCCGACGGAACATAATCCACCGATATACCAATGAACTCATATCACTTAATATATGGCCTATTTCAAGGCCAAAGGCCTGGATGGGAACTCGAGCCTTCCTCACTTCAAATTGCAATAAACCTATGGTGCAATGATACTACATGATCACCGTTTAAGGAGTACGCATATAAGGGTATGTAATTTACCAATGAACTCATATCACTTAATATATGGCCTATTTCAAGGCCAAAGGCCTGGATGGGAACTCGAGCCTTCCTCACTTCAAATTGCAATAAACCTATGGTGCAATGATACTACATGATCACCGTTTTAAGGAGTACGCATATAAAGTGGTATGTAATTTAGCTAATAACATTCTATGATATCCAATCTTCTGTTTCTCATGTACAGTTTCTCCTTTTAATGGTGAATGTTGAATCTACATGTTCATAACTAGGGAAACAAAGTTTATTGCAGAAACTGCCGGAGAATATCCAGCAACGGCACCCCATATTGGATTATTATCATAACTTGCAAATAGCTGATGATGTCTGATATAAATTGGGAAAGGATAAAAGAAAATGGTAGATGCCATTTCCACAAACTATGATGAAGAACAGAAGCAAAAACTCTTCACATAATGTTTCTCAAGGATGTTCTCTTCTTTTCCCCTGCTTTAAATATTCTTTTAGGGGATTGGAAGATAAAGACAATAGGCAAAAACCATAAAGCCAATCTAAAATCACAAAACACTCACAATATGTTATAGTGGGAGCCAATATAACTACTTCCAAGTGGTGGCAAGCAATTGCAGCTAGCTTGTAGCCTTGGATTGCAAAATTTGCACAAGTGACCATAAGATGTCCATTCTATGCATGACTCTGTTGTTCTGTCCCTACAATGTTTTCAAAATTGGGTGTTAGATTATAAAATGGAAAACAAATTTGAAAGGAGATTAAAGAACTGAATCGTTTGGCACTTATAACGCAGTTCAAGCACGCCTGGAGTTTCGGAGGTACAGCTTATAATGCGTCCAACGTATAAATATCATATGGAAAACACAGCAGAAAAGACAAAATGGAAACAACAAATGATGGCCAAGCTTAAAACATCATAAATATCATAAAGCCTACCTCAACCACAAAACATATCCAAGTCTTCTCACCACGTGCTTCTGTAACCCCCTTTAAAATTGTCAGGCCCAAGCTTCTGATGGCCTCTGCTATCTCAAGAAAATGACTACATTCCTCACACAACAGCTGCATGGATCAACTAAAATAACTTTAAAACCAAGAACAAACAAAAAGCTATCATGTTGTCATTTTCAGATTATCGTTCTTTTATATTCAATTAATTCTTCCTAATTTTCTATTTGTCACAGGTGAATTAATGAACAAGATATCCTAAACTAACATACTCTAAGCGGTGATTACATTGGGTGATTCCACCAATGTAATCATAAACTTAGTTAAAAAATAACTATAATCAGTGAGATAATATCATACACCAAGCAGCGAACCCACCATGAAATCACAGTGAACAATTACCAATAATCATGTCAACAGGTGGAACAGTATCATGCACCTAGACAGACTCTGTACATACCTCTACAAGCATCTGCCCATTTTTGTTTATATTCTCAACTACTATTGAGCAAACTTTTAGATGGCTTCCCACTTCCACTGCCCAGCTTGAACCTTGGTCATAATTGGATGATCCGAGACTGCCAGCTCCCTTGTGATGCATCTACAAATTCGGCACGAATATGTAACAACACTTGAATACAGCTAGTGTACAGTAATTATGCTGCCATTTCATGACAAACAACAAGAATCTATAATATATGCCTACAAAGCCCAAAAGGTGCAAGCTCCCAAAAATTCTAGTAGAAGTTGAATGAGATCATTTCATTTATTACCCCAATAATCAATCAGGTCAGTGAAATCTTCTTGGTTTCTAGTTTACTGAGCCAAAACAATCATTAACCAGTACACTGCCTTACCTTTGATTCTGCACATTTACTGAGCTTGTCAGCGTGCTTTGTGATGCCTTGCAGAAAGACCAAGTGCTTGATTGTGCGCTCCAGCAATGAATCAATACTGCACTGCATATTTTTTTCTATAAATTTTAGCATATTGACATTTCTAAGGACAGAAAAGTAAAATATCAGAACCCAACACTTTTACCTTTGCTCCATTAGGCACAAGCTCCCTTAGCTCCTTAAGACGATCTTGAATGAGTTGTCTGTCCCTCGGCCTAGGCCTGGGATTTTCACCAGGTCTAGCCCGCTTTTTGTTGTTCTTAGCTGGCTCACTACAGCTGCCAGGGCAAGCAGAAGAAAACCCTCTTGAAGACAATGCACCAATTAAAGTTGACGAACTCAAGCATTGATGTGTGTTTTTTTCTTTGAAAGAGGACTGATCAATTGAATAATCAGCTGAACTAATAGTATGTTTTGTTTGGCTTGAAAGCTCTGGTGTATTTCCAGTAGTCACTGACGATGGTGCTGATCTGCAAAATGACCTCTCACTTTTGATATCTCTTCCGCTATGGCAAATATTTGCCACTACAGCCTCTAGGAGATTCTCTGAACCAGATTCAAAAGTTAACTGGCTGCTGCTCATCCCCTCTAGCATTTCAATATTAGCTCCAACTTCCATATTCTCTACCTGCCAGTTGGTATTGATACTCTTTCTCAGAAAAGCAGGTCCAAGTGCTTCGTAAAGCTCATACCCAACAGAAAACTTTGAAGAAGTGTTTATAGAGTCCAAGTCACTTGAATCATTTTGATTCCCCAACTTCAAGTGCTTTTGAAATTTTACATCTGAAGATTCAGGAGTGTCCCACACTTCATTTTGATAAGAATTCAAACCACTCACCTTAACAGTATCACTAATTGCAGATTGAAGGAAGTTTGAGTATAATGTATGATCAGCTTCATACTGTTCAGCTTGAAGTGCAACATTAAATAAATTTGTACTGTCGGTAACGGGATGGTTTGTGTAAACATTTTCCTGGTCTCATACTTGAACTTTTCCACCCACTAGTCTCCCCTTTGCATACCCCATTTGTTATCAAATTCCTCCCCAACTGATTTAGATGCTCCGAGTCGGAAACATTTGATCTTGGTGTCAGCAATTTAGCAGTCTCATCACTCCCTGCTGAGGATAGGTCATGTCCTTTATGCTTATTTTCCACATCAACTGCCCTTCTCTGATTATTACTGGCCAGTGGAAAAACAAATGAACTATCACTGCATTTTTGGCGATGTGAAAACTCAGGCAACGAAAAATCTGGTCCTTCTTTGTATACAGCTTTATCTAAAGAAATAACTTCTGAATCTAATAGTTTTGTATGTAATCCAGGCTGAAAAATGAAGATCCAAAAGTATTAATAACATAAACAAACAAATGCACATGTAGTGTTGTGCAAGGTTGCATGCATGTACACATACCGATACATAAAATGAAGGAGAAACTGAAATATACCTCAAAAACTGATCTCTTCATGCTACATTCTATTGGATTGGCAATATGCCCTAGAGAAGAATCTTGAAGAGAAAAAAACATATCTCTGATGAGACTCACAAGCTTCACATCCTCAAATACCTGCTCCATTCAGATAAATAGAACTTGAATATCATATTTCAGTCTAGAGTACCAGCTCAAAAGAACTAGGACAGAAAGCAACAGACTATTGCCAATCATATTAAATGTCAAATCCAGTTAGGCTTCTAGGACTTGGCCATACTAAAACATGCTTTAGTAACTCCTTATCATGTTATAAATGCTTTTAACTTATTAAGGCGCGAGTTTTCTTACATAATTTTCAGTGTACCATCAAATATAAACATAAATGTAAAGTTGAGAATTCAGAGAATCAAAATCGTTCAACCAGTGGTAAAAGTGCCGAAGAAAAAGTATCAAAAAATTACAAGGAGAAATCCACACAAAAATATTAATTTTTTTAGAGGCCAAATCCTTTATTAACACTACTACAGTAGTAGATAACATCTTTCAAGCGAGCAAGACATTTTCGTATAAAACAAAAATCTTATGAGGTTAAGGATATTCATGCCAGAACCCCCAAAAGAAGTTGCACAAACATCAACTTAAAGTAAATACATTGATAAACATTCATAAAGTAGAAAGGCGCCAAAACAATGGAACTCATCTTACTTTATTTAAGGAGCCAAGCTGCACAACTCCCTGTGGAACAACAGCAACAACAACAATGGTCTACAAGGAAAAATGACAAATATTTCTATTAATAGCATAAACGTATAGGAAAGGAAATAAACTTTAGGCAAAAGACTGTTGCAGGCAACATTATGGAAGGCATTTGCTTCCAAACTCCTAGAATACAAATTAAGCGAGCTGAAACTTATTTTCACTTCACGCAAAGGTCAAACAAACTAGCCCAATAAATTGCAAAAGTAAATTGGAATAAAATGCCTTCACTCTCCACCAAAAAGATATGGACCTTTAACCTAGAAACATGATCAGTTATTGACTTCCATGTGTTGAACCATGGAAATCATCACAACTAAAAAACAGAGTAAAAGCATGCATAGCATACCCTGATCCCTGCTTTAAACTGACTTTGCCAACCGTCAGAGAACTGCAATTCAAATCAAGGCATAAAGTGAAGTGAGTATTGAAAACAAAATCTACTCTGAAACAGTATGCTAGACATCAGTGCTTGGTAAAGCTCCTCACCTCAAACGATGAGCAGGAGCTGTTAACATGCTTATCTGCAAATATCCATTGATGCTTTCCAGAAACTGCCACTTGTCCAACAATCCTTTATAACAAGGAATACATATTAAATGGGACCTTTATGCATAAGCTACATGTGCTCACTTCTTTGCAGATTCAGAAATTTGATACTTATCATAATCATAATTAAAATCAAATACTGAGATTGTTTAAAGGTGCAAGAAGATTGTAAGGGTAACAAGACACTACTTTCAATCAGTTGCATCCTTGTATCATTTTTCTTTAACTACTGTAGTAACAATGCCAAAAACATTCCAAACAATGAAACAACAAACTTATCAATGGGTTGAGCCATACCCTTCCCCTAGTGAATATACTTGATAAGACATCTTTGCCAATGCTAAACCAAGGGGGTCATGTGAACAATGTCCACTGCGCAAGTTTTCTAATGAATCTCGGAAACTGTTGTTCCCTGAAGGATCACATTGGTCATGATTGTCGTAGTATGCATCCTCCAAAGTCAGCACCCTGTTATAAGTTCAACGTTAAGGATTGTAAGTAACCAAACACGCCAAAGTATTTTCGCAAGGACCAGCGTAACATCCCACAAAATTAAAGGTAAAACAGAAGAGCGATTAGTTTTCTCCTGATAATCTTAGGACAATATTTCAAAAGTTAAAAAAAGAAAAACAATCTCCAAATAATCAATTGGTATTGATCCACTTTTTCTCTCCTAAAATTATTTTTATAAAGGTAATTAGAAGGTGGTTATGCCTGGAGTTGGAGGAAAATCCTTAAACACAGTTTGGGAATGGCAATGATGGCCTTTTTCTTTTGTGTCAAGGTCATTTAGAAAACAGGGATCGTCTATTTTCTGGGTGTTTTTTTTAGAAATAAATTTAGAGAATTGATTCTGCAACACTGTAATCTCAATAGGAGAATGCTTGCTTGGCTGCAGGAATTTCAGTGTGTGAGCAGCAAATTTCACGGTAAGTCGCTGATTACTCTGATATTAAAGCTGTCCTGGAATGCACTAATTTACTTTATATGGAAAATTTGGAACAAAAAGACAGTTTCAAAGGTTGGTGCTAGTGAAATGGAGATTTTCAATCTGATAAAGAATACTATTAGCATAAGACTTAGTGGGAAAAGGATAAACAGGAATGAAAGTGTGAATATAAATCTTTGTATAGCATGAGATATACTTGAGTAATCTCTGTATAGCATCACTTGGCTGTTTGCAAGTAACAGTTTTACCTGATTCCTTCTATTAATGCAAGAAAAGCATATCCAAAGACAAAAGAGAATTAGAAGAACACAAAAGGCAAGTATGTTAATTTCCAGAACTTCTGAAAAATTGGCAGATTGCAATTTAGTAATACTAATGGAAAGGAGAAAATAGGTTATCTTATGCCAAATCCAGGGGTCAAACCCATTCCATCATAACCTAAATAACATGCCAACCATAATTCCAAAATTAAACAAAAACCCCAAATCATCTTAGATCATAAAATCCAGATAATTAGATGCAGATGGCATACAGACATCGAATTAGCTGACCTCAAGGAGCAGGACAAAATATTCACAAGTTCTTTTTTTGTAAACTACGCAACAAACAAGATACTGCGAATCAATCAATTGAAAGCAAATGGCGATCAACTTAAAAGGAAACAAAAAGGTAAGAAAGTGGCAGGTTACTGACATTCGAGCTCGATGCTTAAGCTTCCAGAAAACGGCGTATTTCCACTCAGTATTGAGACAGAGACTTCTCAGTATCTGGTGCAAACCACTGCTAGTTGTACTGCTGCCCATCCCTATCTCTCCTCAAAAACAGAAAGAAAGTTTTTTTTTGTTCGAAAAGCCCCCGCCCCCAACTAAAAGTAACAAAATTTTCAATTCAAAAGCACTCCCCCAACCTATCTTCTGTTTGCAATAAAGCCCCTAGCTTCCTCTGTAAGAGCCTCTTCCAGCCTGTTTTCTCCTCAACCCTGCTCGCGGTTTAATTGGCGGTCCAACCGTTGGCAGTAACAAACTATCCGTTCCCATTCCTTTGCGTCCAATAACAAAAAGAAAAAAAGAAAAAAATGACCTTTTAGAGGTTTTCTTCACAGATGCCAATTACAAGATCAAACTCGAGAGATCAAATATGAAACTCTCCTCGCAATTAACTCCGTTGAAGTCGTTGCTGCGTACAGCCATCTTTAGAACGAAAATCTCCTCGAGTCGTCGGAAAGAGAAAGTGAAAAAAACTACAGAGAACGACGAAAATTTAGCAGAGAAGTCTAGCTTATATCCGACGACATGGATAATTGAACTCCTTGAAGATCGATTTTTTTCGACAAAAATTGTTTTTTTTTTAAGTTGAACGCGAGATTCAACAAAGAACTGAACTAGAAGATGAGAAAAAAAGGGATCGGACGATCAAAGCTTAATGGAGTGGTGGGAAAGAGCAGATTTCAACAACTCTGAAGTTTTTATTATTTTTTATCTGACAAAAATGGGCGCTGAGTGACTTTTTATAACATGCGCGACCTTGGGCTGCTTTATTAGTCTACGCACCCGGTGCATGTTAGCTCCCTTCACTAGGTTGATCTAGTTACTTTAATTTTCACTCTTTTTAAAATAAATTTTCATTCCATCTTTTAACTTCAAAACCCTAATTAACAATATTTTTCTAAAATTTTTTATCTAACGACTTTAGTAATTAAAAGAAATGTTATTCTCTTTAATCTTTATATGTTCTGGATTCAATCAGTTGTATCCGTAAAGTGTGTATGTGTTATTAATAATTAAAAAGATTATGAACAAATACAACATTATAATAAATTTCTTAAATTATTTAAATAATTTGATTCAACTAAAATATATTTTGTTTAAATTTCAATTTAAAAAATTGAAAAAACTAAAAATTAAAGTGTCATTTTGATCTTTTGTTAAGTGATTTAATTGTTTGATCATTTAGTGAGTCCCCGATCTTATTGTTCGTGTAATTCTTTCATTTTTTTAAGTTTATTATGATCAAGTATGAACCACGTGTTTCTCAACCATTAGAGAATAAAGGTGTAACTTCAAATTCTATTTTCGAAAGTAATCTTCTCTTTTTTAAATTGATCTCTAACTTTATATTTCATTCAATTTGTTCCTCTATTTGTAACTTTCTTCAAAATATTTATTCTCATTAATTCATTGATTGTTTTCTTTAAAAAATAATATTATAAATATATTATATAATTTTAGGTGATATTTGATTTATTAAATACATAATGTCAAAATTCATCCTTACAATTGCCTGAAATAATATATTTGGTCTCTGCTTTTTTTAATTTTAGCATTTAAGGTTTTAATTTTAGTCAAGATAACTTTTTCTAAATGAAAACGATTAATTGATTAATGGTTAATTGAACGGTCAATACTTACATCATTTAAAAATTACTTGTGAAATTATTTTTTTCATCAATTATGAAATAATTATGAAATAGTAACTTTTATTTTCAATAAATAACTGTCTTTGAATTTTTTAGTAAGTAATTAAACAATAAAGTAAATATTCACACAACATAAAAACTACTTTTCAAATTTAAAATTTATTTTACTTTCTTTAGAAATATTATTATTTTATCTATATACAATGTCATTACTAAACCTCTAAATTCAAAATTGTAATCACCAAATTTTTATCCGATTATTATTATAAACAAATATAAAAAATGATAATACATATAAATATTAAACCCAACTAGAAAACCCTAAAGACCATCAAGCCTAATACATTTTGAAGCAAAGAAACCTTAATAGCCACCCTTTGCTCCAGCCGCCGCATGGCCTCCTCTAGCTCGCACCGCCGCTGTAAACAACCATATCACATCCTGAGCCGCACCGCTAATCGTTGAGCCGAGCCTTTCCATTTCCATTTTCAACCAAGACATAAGAAAAGAAACAAAGCTTTAGATTTCCATTTTTATTGTAACAACATGGGTGTTTAAAACCCAAGAAACAAATCAATGTAAAAGAGGAAAACAAAGAGTCAAAAAACATAATACCAAAAAAATATTTTAAAGGTATGTTTTTATTATTATTTTCATTACATGTTTTGTGCATATGTGTTTGGGTTTTTCGGGAAAAAAGGAAAGTAGAGGACTTATCTTAGTTTTGGGTTTTCATATCGGGTCTCACCAGAGTAGAAAGTCATCGGAAAGCATTAAGTTAGGGCTTTTTGGTCGTTTTGGGGCTTGCATGTCATTTGTGGGTATTAATTCGGGGTTTAGAATAGAAAAAAGTAGTTTGGGTTCTATTTAGGACTCGATTTAGTGTACCGACCACCATAGGCGGTGGTCGAAAGTCGAAGGGGGTCGATTTGTGTGTGGCAGTAGGTTCTCGGGGGTCTTGGTCGAAAGGAAATAACATTTTGGAGAAGAAACAATGTTTAGGGGGAGTTTTAGCATCTCCAGTGGCCATTGGCGTTGGTCGAAGCTTGATTCACGGCGGTGTTGTTGAGTCAATCGAACCAATGAAATAGCCAAGAGGGGGTGAATTGGCAAATAAAAATTGATGGAAGTTTTTCACATGAAAAATGAAAAATTGAACACAAACAATTTTAGAGTGGTTCAACTTTCTCAATGAAGTTTACATCCACTACCTTAGCCTTCACACTAAGGATTTCAACAAATTCACTAATTTGTTCAAACATTTAGGACAAGGTGTAACCTTACAACACACTTAAACTTATACCCCCAAAGTCTTAAGTGTACAATCATTCCTAAGAATAAACTACAATTAGAAAATCTCATAGGATGTGTTTGGACAATTCAAGAACAAATAAGAACACACAACAAAATGAAACAAATGAGTACAAAAGTGTTCTTTGAAAGTAAAAAGAATATTAAAGAATGTTGACTTGATTTTTTGCTCAATTTGATTGCTTTGGCTTTCTTTATGATTTATTGTCTTCACATATGACTTGAAATCTTTTTTTTTTATATCTCTTCATTCAATTCTAGCCATTTAGGTTGTTATGGGAATAGAGTCATTTACCAATACTCGGGCTTGGAGTATCGGTACTACATGCGTTAATTATAAAAATCTAACCTTTAAGAATATGAGAGTATCGGTACTCCATATAGAGTATCGGTACCGGTATCGATACTCAGAGAGTATTAGTACGAAAATAGACTATTGGAATCGTGTTTGTTAAAAACTTAAAGGGAGTTTCGATACATGTATCGGTACTACTATTTAATTTTCACACTAGTATAAATATATGTATCGTACTCCTGTGTATTTTTACACATTGGTATCGATACCTGTATTGGTACCATTATAACAATATTGGTACTGTTCTTGCAATATCTATACTCTAAGGTTAAAATTTGATTTTTAACTCGATTAAAATCTGAAACCTTTTGCAAAATGTTTGAAAATTATTTCCAGTATATGACTTGAGTTTTTCAAAAGAGTAAGGAGTAAAGATAGAGTTTTTGACTTTAAAAAGAATTTTTTATATTTGAATGGTTGAATCAAATATAAACTTGAGAATTGTATTAAAAATAATCTTAAATTTTCTTAAAAAATATGTACTTTTGGTATATCAAAATCTCAAAGCATGGTTCAACAATCTCACCCTTCTTATATAACAAAACATTTGAAAGATTTTAAGATTTGCTTCAAAATAACTACTCCCCCTTTACTCTAACATTTCTCCTCCTTTTTGTTAAATCAAAAAGTTAAAAAACCAAAATATAAATAGGAACAGTGAAGATCAAATGAACGAAACAAGGTTAGTCAACACAAGTAATATTCTTAAGCAATTATAATGGTCATAAAGTAAAACATGTCTTAAACATCACATTTTTAACCATAATAAGCATCCAAACTAACATAAATATTAAATAAAAGCATCCATGTGCATGAAATAGCCTAATCCAAAAGCAAAGTAAATTAACATCCAATTATAACATAATCTAAATAACTGAACATCAAAGTATCAGAGGATAACATCCAAAAGCGTAAAGGCATCCAAATGATTAAAATGCACAATCGAACATGAGCAAATAGAAAACAATCAATCAAGGAAAAATGATCAGGCATCCGACAGAGGAGGATCATGATCCAAAGATAAAGCACAGAATGGAGCAAAGTCGCGAGAAAGAACGTCAATCCTATCCGTCACCGTGTTGAATCTAGCATGAAGATCGTGTCAGGAATCCAATAAATCACCTCTAAAGATAATTTTCTAGGATCAATATCAGAAACCTAAGTCCCTAAATATGAGAAGTGAGACTCCATAGTGGTAAACCTCATGTCCATCGTCTCCATGAATATCTGGAAGTAAGGTAGAATCGCACTCGCATTGTCACCACCGACTCGAGGGGGATCGACAGGAATATACTTCACCGAATCATCGACGTCTCGAATCGAATCATCATCTAGAGGCGAATGAGCAGCAGAGGTAGAGCCTAGGGCTTACTTCCCTTTCCTTATCCAAGTATCCCAATCTTTTCCCATCCCGATTTCTGAAGAGATTTAATATCAATGTAGGAGGATAGAGGAATAGCGAGATTGAGAGAGATATTGATACCAACTTTAAGAAAGATATGACTAAGAATGCAACTATACACAAGGGTATCGAATTTCTTAGATTAGAAATTATTAATGACGTCGACAAGCTTGCCAAAAATGATTTTATCAGAGTCTTGAAAGCAATGGATCCACCAAATATCTATAGTGCGAAAGGTAGAGAATTTACCACCGGATGGTCGAAACCACCAAGAAATAATAAGGTGCAAGAAGCGCTCATGAATATCTAGAGTATTTTCAGTGTGACCAACCTTATAAGGGGATTTGCAAAATATCTTTCGTTATTTATGCCCTTGACCTCTAGTCCTAAATCTCTGGCTATAGAAGAGAGATCAATATGAATGTATTGTCATGTGAGATAGGAGCGAATACTAACGGTGGCATTTAGAGTGTCATCAACAACACAAACAACATTGGAGTAGAAAATACGAACAAGTTATTGAAAGACAATCGATTTGATCTTAAAGGTATTGTCTACCTTCCAAGAACAAAGTTGCAGAAAGTATTTCAAATTAAACTTAGTCATAGCAGAAAAAGAGGGCATACACTCATTCTTAAGGGGTAATGTCTCGAAAAACTCATAGTATTGATGCAAAAGGTTTTGGCGACCAGGTTCATTAAAGCACAAATTTTGAATGATAAGCTCATTTGAGTTAGGAATGGGGTTATGATTAGGATTCGGAGGAGGAGGAGGATATCGAGAAGAACGGGCTCGTTTAGACATTTTTAGGGAAAAAATCAGGATAGGGAAATCTGTAAAGAAAAGTAATATACACAAGCACGTTAACATCAATTTCCAAAATTCAAGAGAGTCCGCAATAGCCAAGGTATTTAAGATTAAAAAATTAAAAAACAATGGATTTAACGTTATATATA